ACGCGATGGTCCGCCACTGAGTCGGCATCAGTCGCACCAGATTTATGAGCTTCTCCTCCTCTTCGCGCGACCACTCGGTCTTCTTGATGGACGGATCCAACCATTCAAACCAACGCGCTTTGCACTGTTTGGCGGCCTTCCGGTGCAATAGGGATGCGATCCGTGACCACTGGTTCTTCCCGTACTTCATGACCGCCGCCTTCAGGATCTCATCCTCGGTGTTCCGCCAAACGCCGCCTTTTATCATAATTCGTGGCATTTTGGCGGTGCTGTTGAAGGTGTGGACCAAACTACCAAATGGTTAGGATGTGATCAAAGTGATGGTTACGTTCAATGAGTCAACGTTGCGGTGATTATTGTCTTTCAATTGATTGTTGTTTTCATTCACTCCAGCATTCAATGCAAAAATAATACGCTTTCACACCGTTTGGGACTTTCGGTAATAACGTCCGCTAAATATATGCACAAGTTTTGTACAGAATATTCTATAATATTTTTGCAAAATAAATAGGATCTAGTTCATTTCATAAGGGATTTTGTTATAGTTTATAATACTTTTGTTGAGTAATAATTCAATTAATTACAAGACTTTAATTTACATTAGATTATAACAAATACGATAACATTATCAGTAATATCCATGCATTCAAATCAATAGTTTATTATCAATAAACAAGTGGTGATAGGAATCCAACAAACAGGTCATGTCTTGAGGCGTTTCCGGTGCGGTTTGGGTGCGCTATCATTGGTCTGTTGATAAAACCTCTGCAACAGATCCACGGCTTTGTCGGCGTCCAGCAGTTGATGGCAATGGAGAACGGGTTCATCGATGAGTTCATTGGCGCTGACATTGTACACGGAATCAGTTCCGCCGAACCTCTCATTCCGGGCCCCAAACAACACCTGTCGGACTCTCAGGTGTCTGAGCGCCCGGACACACATCAGACACGGCTCTAACGTAATCAAGACAGTGGTGTCGGCCATCAGCGCATGCAATGTCTTCAGATCGGAGCCATACTTGCGGACC